ATGGGGCTGGGATAGGCTGCCAATCTGAATTAGATGAGCAAATAAAGATGGATGGAAAGTCATCAAAGTTTTGTTTTTCAGCACAAGTTTAGATATTTATATGGCGGAAATGTCACATAACTGTGTTTTAAAAATGACTTCACACAGAAATTGTCTAAGTGCACAAAGAAACCAACAGTTCTTACTGTAAAACAAATAATAAAAAAACCCACAACAAATAATCAGTTACTCACAGGAGAGAGTAGATTACTCAAATGATGAAACAACAGCAATGTAAAGCCTGACATTCACAGAAAATATTCATCAAGTGCCCATCAACTACTCCTGTACTCTGTTGATGTTCTCCTTCATTAGAAACAAACTGTGCGCCTTTACTGTCAGTAAAAGCAAAGAATCGATCTAATGTGTCATGTTGGCGTTATTTCATCTTTTTAGCAGCAGCACTCCCTGACCTGCACATTAAAATGTAAAAGTTTGCTTTGCATGTTGAGCTGATCTTGTTTGATGGAGGTGACTAGGCTGAAGTCTGATGTAACCTGAGCAGGATTAGCTTAAGTCAGGTCATGGCGAGGTCATCAGCTGGTCATATGAGAGGTCAGAAGTCAGGTTGGTGTGCGTTGGTTGTGGCTGCTAGACGCACTGCCAGACACAGTAATCCAGACAACAGCTGAGCACTGTTACCGCTACTTTATTAAGGTCAGCCTTGATGAAGCAGTCAGGGATTTTTTTCCTTACTTATTTTGAACGCCTCCTTTTCTCATAATGAAACACAAATAGCTCAGGGTGTAAAATAAACATGCTCAGACCTGCTATGACTGTTTCATAGAGTTAACAGTGAATTTTGTCGTATCAAGATGGCTTTGATCCTTAGAATTTAGCTTTTTTTCATCATGAACAAAATGTATTTATTTCTAATATGTAGCTGCTCAACATGTAACATTTGACATGCTGAAATACAAAATCTGCACTGTGTGTTTTAAAGCAGCATTAAATGATTTTGAGCCACTTGGAGGAAATTGAAGAAAATGTAAAGCAAAACTCTGACACATTATGTTCTTTTAATGTTGGCACAATGTACATGTTAGTTAGCATTTGTGTTTACATGTATAGAGAAGCACTACAGCATGGTTAGGACCGTTTTCCTTCTCCTTTTAGCTCTGGTGTTAATCTCCAATAATATCTGTATTCATTAGTAGAAACACAACTTTAGGTTTCTAGCTGGTAACTTTATTTTTTCTGCAAAATTAAAAGGATAAACACATTTTATGAGAGTGGAGTGGTCATCAAATCAAAACAACATGCTAAAAGATAATAAAAAAGTTCTGTAGAGCTGGAGGAAGCTGCAGGGCTCTCGCTATGAGGTCCCTATTTCAGAATTTACAATATTTTATCAACTGTAAATTTTATTAGTCCATAATTCCCAGAACTTCCTGGTAAAGAAGAACTTATTTATTCACATCTAGCAAAATATTTGGTTTTGTTAATAAGGTAAATGTGCGTGCAGGGCCAATAATGAACAGCCACGGTCAGCCAATTAGACCCATGCTCTCTTGTCTTGAGAGCCGTCGTTACGACACTGCCGGATTGGTGTTGTTGCTCTGGGGTTCGTTGGTGATCCCTTGTCTGTTTGAGATAACAGTGGAGGTTTTAAGTGGTGCTGAGGGGCAACGTGAGATGACACTGAAGTGCTTGTGGGTGACCGAGGCTTCACTTCTTTGCCATCTGTATTTTCTGGCTTCTTGTCATTAGCTGCACTAGTTCTAACCGTGGTCCCAACACTCGCCTTCGTTTGAAAAAGTCCACTATTTGGCACAACTCCATCAGCAGGTTTTTCATCTCTGAGGCCATTCACCTTTGAGCTTCCACTTGGGCTGGATCGTCTGGTTAAAAGAATATTAGTGTCTTCTGTCACCGTTGCCACTGTAAACATGCTGTTTTGCTCTCTATTACTTATCTCCTCCGTCAGCATCTCCCTCTTCCTCCTCCACCTCAGCATTGCTTTCACAGAGTTCACCAAATCAACCAAACTTAACAGGACTGATAAAAACGCAACGCAGAGCATGAAGTTGAGCATGAAGTTCTTTTCTGTTGGTCTGGATATGTAGCATTCAACTCCAGATGTGCAGGGAGCCTCATAACAGAGGAAACTCTTAGGAATCGACAAACCAAAGAGAAAGAACTGGGCTGCGCTAAAAATAGCTTCTAGAAGAATCCGTAGAATTATAACTACGAAGTAAGCGCCGTAGAAGCGTGGCGCTCCCACGCATGACCTCCCAAGTGGGAGGTCGTGAAGCAGGGCTTTATGCGAGGACGGCTCTCTCGAGGATTCTGAATTCTCGCTGCAAGGCGAGTCTCCTCGACTCCTGCCCCAGTAGAAACCTCCAAAATAGGGACATGACAAAACTTTGTGCATGATGTAGGTGGCAAACATCAAATGGGGAAGACCGAGAAGAGTAAGGTGGAAGAGCCAGAGACGGAGGACAGAGACGGGAGCAAATAGATCAAAGCACACGTTGGAGCAGCCTGGCTGCATGGTGTTACAGTTAAATCTGTCCTGTTCGTCACTAAAGAGCGTGAAGCCGGCCAGGAGGAGGACAGGCAGACGGAAAACCAACATCAGTATCCACCAGGTTTTGCCTGTAATGGAGATGGTGAATATGTGTGAATATGTGCTATCAAATCTTTTCAATGCCTATAGGAAGCTGTATTTTTTTATTAAGTAAAGTTAAATACAGCTAAATAAGCATATAATGTATTAATGTTAGTAATTTAAAAATAATAGCAACAGTAAATTGTCGTGTTAGAGTGATAAATCATTATAAAGCACCCGCTTATACACAAATAATTCATGAAAACGTTTTAATGATTTCACTCGTTAATTTGAATATTGTGCCACACCGACTTACCAGTAAAGGACACATTTTGATTTATAGTGATGAAGAATATCTCTTTTGCCCCCATCATCCTCATTGTTCAACGCCTCTTTTAAACTGGCAAGTCCGACTTCTGATGATGTTTCGAGGTGATGTCCCCCGAGTTGCTCTCTCCTTTAACTTGCTTCTAAAATCACAATGCTGATCCTCAGTGCTTCCCACTAAACACACTGACCTCTAACGCGCTGATAGTGCCTCTTACCCCTGTCTGCAGAGCACAGGACCTGCGGAGAGAGCTATTCTTACCGTGCTGCCATCAAAGCATTGTTGGGATGTCTAGGTAGGGGAGACCGGGGATAGTTGTAACGTGGGTCAGTTGTAACACTTCCAATTTCTCCAATCAG